TATATATATATATATATATATATATATACTGCTGTAAGTAAAGTGCAAAATTAAATGCATATATATATATATATTTGCCATTTCCAACCACATTTTAAATATGTAAATTACATTCTAATTTTATCAGGTTTTATCAAATTTAGCTAATGTGTGTAATAAACGTGCAACAAAGGATAGCAAAATAAACATTTAAACTTTATCTGTCTAATTGCATTTAGATTCAGAGTTTGGAAAATTATGATTTTGTAGCAAAATCCAATATGTATTTCAAAATATTGTGTATATTTATATTAATATATATTAACTACATACTGTATGTAAATCCATTTTAATTACATTTTTATTACTAAACTTTGCACATCTTGGAAAAACAGAACTACACTGACATTTTTTATATTTCATTTTCCTTTTGCATAATACATTTCAACCTTAATTTTGTAAGTTTTCTTCCAAAAACTTATCTGGATAGTATTTCCGTTTCAAAAAGATTTTAAAATGAATGTGATCCAAATTGAGCTCACATTTGATTCAAATAGCTATACTCAAGGCATCACTTCCCATGGCGTCGCAGCTCATTTGCATGAAGTTGAACTTTGCTCACCTTTGTCGCGTTGGCGCCGGCTGCTGCCACTCATCTCACCTCCCATCGCCAAATCTCATTGAAAATGAATGACTTCTGCTTGCTTTGGGCGGCAGATCACTGTCAGTGTGAATATGTACCTTAAAGAAATAGTTCACCTGAAAATGAACTTTCTGTCATCCTTTTCTCACCCTCGTGTCTTTGCAAAAACCAACTTCATGAAGTTTTCTTACCATTCTGCGAAAGTTTTTTTGCGCCTACAGTACCTGTGAATGTGTCCGTGCTTATTTGTCATTTTCAACTCCCCAGTGCATCAAAATTTTTATATTTTTAAACTCATGGAGGGGTGGGAAGGTAAATGGTAATGGCCTAAATATCCAATTCCAATCCAGGACAGGTTTTGAATACATTACTATCCATCTGTGTGAAAACGATTTGCTCGGAAACAGTACAAATGAGGGTAGGGACTATTTTAGGGCACCTTTGCTGTACTGTATTATTCAAAGATCATCGAAGTGTGCTTTACATGAAAGAAAAAAGATGCTATTTTCAGTCTTCAATGAGTTACGTTGTTTATTAGCAAATTCTTCATTTGTTTAAGACTACACGCCATGATACAACAATAAAAACAATTAGTTAAATTTAATTCATGTTTATAAAAGTTCTAGTAAATAGAAACGGTGTCAGTCCAGTTTTCAGACTTGAAGTTCAGTTTAGTTCAGTTAAGTGTGGCTTCATTTTCACTGCTGAAAGTCCAAACACTGAAGAGCAAATCCAATGATGTGCAGCTCCACAAATCCTAAACCAAGCAAGCTAGTGGAGACTTCAAGCTAGCAAACTTCACCAATTGATGAAAGCGAAGGAAAACCTCTGGGAAAACCAGGCTCAGTTGGGCATGTCCATTTCTCCTCTGGCCAAACTTCTTGTGCAGAGCTGCAGTTTAGGTGTTGGAGGCTGAAGAACACTGGACATCCATCGTGGAGAAGCTGCTGGTGTGAGTAGGTCACTGGTGGGTGTTCAGGCTGGTCCACAGGATTAATCGGAACACTCGTTCAGATCCCACTTGGTGGGACTTTATAATTGTTTAATCTTACCCCTTAACACTGGCCCTGTCCATTTTGTTATATATGAACTGTCTCTTTTATATGAGGTGTAAACAGAGACACTGATGTCAGATGGCAGTGTTCAAGTTTTCAAAATCAAACCAAACCTGTGTAAACACCCTCAAAGCTTTTGTGCACATAAATTGCTTATATCCAAAGCTTGCTCACAGCTCACAATACAGCCATTCCTCATTGACCGAAGTTCTACGCATTGATGGAAAGTTTGAAAACACTTACTCGCAGCCCTCTTGGAAGTCTGACGGCAAAGCAGATAACAAGTCCTGCCAATAAGCACTGGCCGCTGAAACCCCAATGTTTTGTCATGCCGCATCACAGTCCAAAGAATTCGAAAAGAGAAAAAAAAAAATCGATCATTCCAATTTCTTTCGAAGTTCAACTGCCCCTGGAAAGCATTGATCCTGCCTGCTCCTTCCTCCAGTTTCACGCGGAGCCGCTTTCTGGAGGCGCGTCGGACATGCTGTTTGTTTAGAAGTTTTCTCTAGGCACCAGCTCTCTCTTTCTTTCTGAACCTTTATAAAAGACCACGCTTCCAGCTAAGAGGAGTAATTGTTTCTGTCATGTAATCATGGCGTCGTTTTATTCCCACGTTCAAATAGGAATCCTGTTGGGCGTGCTCATATATGCCCTCTAATTGAAACGATGAAAGGAGTTGGGGATGAATTAAACGTGTCTGCTACTTTGGTGGAATGAAGTACCTTTTGTGCTGAGCGAGAGTTATTTATTTCATTTCGCCGTTCCCTCTTGTGCGGCCGCGGATATGACAAGCTTCTGACAGTTCCTGCTGTGTATGCTAACAACCGATGTGTATTTGCTACACGCTCTATCATTAGCGCCAACAATCCCCCTTTGGAGCGGGGCGAGAGCAGGGGCCCGCGCTGCTTGTGAGAATTAAAGATTTCTCTTGACAGAGAATAATGAGGGTATCGATTGTCCTGCGAGATATTTACCACTCGCTACTCTTGAACTGCAAAGGGCATCGACAAACCAGGACCAAGCAGTATCCTTCAGATCATGCTTGGGAGATTCTTTTAAACGAATCGTTCCAGATATAACCCCCACACACTCGCCGTTACCGAATTAGCCTTCTGAATTTACCGCTTGGTGAGAGCGCTGCTGGAGAAGACAGGTTAACAGCTTGAGTTCAGTGAACGGTAGGGTTCCAGGGAGCTGACGATGCAAAAACAAGCTTCAAAAATAATAAAATATTATTTTTAAGAACAATTTTTGTTTAATAAAGAGAGAATACAGCATATGCTTATATCCTAAACAACCTCTATTCAAAAAAAGTTCCATGTTTGTGATTTACAAGTGTTTTCTGTTAATTTACGGTTGTGAATTGCATTATAGGAGTTTTATCTCTGCTCTGTCCACCTTCAATGTTGTAAATTCAACTTTGCAGTTTCAACAGAGTGACTTTTATTGACGTTTTAGTAGTTTGAGACAAGATATTGTTTGAGAAATAATAAACAGAGAGCTAAGTTTGTAAAACAACAGAAAATTCACTGGCAGCTTATTACGACATTTTTGTGCCGTAGTACACCAACCCAGATAATATATCACTTCAAACTATTAAAAATCTCAATACAAGTCACGTTTTTAAACTTGTCAACATCAAGAGCTTTTGGAGGAAAGCTCAAGGTCCCATAATGTAATTCAAAAACCTAAACAAGAACATATAAATTGTATCACAAATCTGAAAAACTGTACTGTGTTAAGTCTATACGTTATAGGGTCACCCTTATTAAAGGGTTAGTTTACAAAAAAAAAAAATAATAATTCAAAATTATCATAACATAAATCCTTATGTTGTTGTGATCATCTGAGACCTTCGTCAATTTTCAGAACACAAATTAAGATAATTTTGATGAAATTTGAGAGCTTATCCTGTATAGGCAGCAATTAGTCCAAGACATTCAAAGTCCAGAAAATATAACAAAATCAATGTAAATATAGACAAAAATAGTCGTATTTAGTTGTTTTTTTTATTATATATATATATATATATATA